CCGCGGCCCCCGCGGGCCCCTCCCGGGCCCGCCCCGCGCCCGCCGGGCCCGGGCGGCGCTTCCCGGCCGGGCACGGCACGGCGGGCCGGCGCCAGCATGCAGGCCCCGCACAAGGAGCACCTGTACAAGCTGCTGGTGATCGGCGACCTGGGCGTGGGCAAGACCAGCATCATCAAGCGCTACGTGCACCAGAACTTCTCCTCGCACTACCGGGCCACCATCGGCGTGGACTTCGCGCTCAAGGTGCTGCACTGGGACCCGGAGACAGTGGTGCGCCTGCAGCTCTGGGACATCGCAGGTGAGCACCCGGGAGGGGTCCCGGGGGTGGCGGCGCCTCGCAGCCGGTCTCCAGTCCCAGGGCATCGGCTTGCGGCCAATCATTAGGTCCAGATCGCCGGATGGCCAGGACGGTGCGCCGCAAGAGACTTTTCCTGGTGGATTGAAAACTTGGTTTCAAAGAAAAGAAAAAAGTTTCTGGCTCTAGCTGAAACTTGAAGTGCATTCCCTGGTGTTTTGGGGCTTTGGCTTTAGCTCTCTTTCGCACCTCCCCCTGGGATCTCTCCGCCCAGAGCAGGCCTGCTGGGGGACCCAGAGGGAGACTGTTTGCTATTGCCTTCCGTTCGCAACTCCCGCTCATTTTCTGGGCTCGGGCAGTCCTGAGGGTGACTGGGCCCAGAATGTCACGCACGCCCTTCTGTGCTGGGGCCGACTCCAGCCGAGTTATCAGCGGAAACCGGGATAATCCCTTTCAATCTCTTGCTTTATTCCAAATTTCGCCACCCTCTTTTCTGCCTTTCAGTTAAGAAAATTTGAGGTTCTTTGCTTTGAGGAAGCCAAGCACCTTTCTGTGTATATGTCAGAGGCAAAGTAGTCTCTCTCTTTCTCTCTCTCGATGTCTGTAATCTATCAAAAGGAGTTTGTGGATATATTTTAAAGCTACTTTGTGTAAGAGCCTATGACAGCCATACAATTTCTTGATTTGGCCCTAAAGTTTTCATTGAGAGATCTGGAAAATGGGAAGTTTTAAAAAAATGCTTGAAATCAGGATTTGATTCTGAGGATTTGTACCAGGAGTTAGGCTCAGTCAAAAGTGAGGGTGCAGGGTGTCTACTCTGAGTCCTGAGAGTCAGGCTGCTTGCAACCTGGCATGTCCAACCCCTCATTACACATCCTGGCTCTGTCACTCGCTAACCTGCTCAGTGGCTTTGAACAAGTCTCTTCAGCTCAGGTGCAACCCTGTTAAGTGGAAAGGGGTTGGACAGTGATGGTTCAGGAACCCTCCCGCTCACAAGTTTTAAGGTCCTCTGGAATTCTCCATGAGTCACTTCAAACAGTCCAGCTTCATCTCTATTTCATGGTTCTGTGGCACCAGGAACCTTTCTTTATAAATGCTGGATCCAAACTACCCGCTTCTTTTTCAGAAAATAGGTTAATTTTGGCTGGTGCATTTGACTGGAAACACTTTATCATAACTTGAAGCGAGAACAAATGTGGAAAATTTTTGAAAGGGCATTTCTGGTCTGGGGATTTTAGTGCCTCTTTAATCATGAGCTGCCAGGTCTTATGATAAAGCTCTTGGCAGGTTGACAGATTCATGAATTTGGAGTCATCTTCAGCCATTCTAGTAGCACAAAGATTATCAGAGAACAGAAGATGTCATCAGATACTGTTTGATTGGGCTTTTTATGTAAAAAATCCAGTATGAGTTTGTGTACTTTGTTGCTGCGTGTTTTAGTGTCTGAAAGCTCTCCTGGCTGCATAGAAATCATCAGGACTCAGGTTTAGAAATAGCTTACTGTTTAAAAGGGAATGTACCTATAATTTGGATTTTTGTGTCAAATCTAAGTATAGCCTCAGCCACATTATATGTCTGTAGGTCTCAGTTTCCTCATATCAACAGGGGAGATAGAAGAGTATAGTGATTGAGCCCAAATTCTGGAGTTGAACTGCCTCCATCTGAATATGTGCTTTACTCTCTATGTAGTAGTTGATTTTAGGCAAGTTCCCTAACCTCCTTGTTTCAGTTCCCTTATCTGTAAACATGGAGAACACTTTCTTCCAGTAAATGAGAGATGAGCAACCAACAATGCTAGTCAAAGACAATAGATCTACAAGGTTTGTTATTGCACTTGCTACCATTTTTTGAGCATGTATAAATGCTAGGTAAGGACATGATGCATGTATATATGTGCTGATTAAGTTCTAATAAATTGTGATTTCTGTGTTATACATATATTCTATCCCCAAACACTCAGCACCACTTTTCAGCCTTACCCATTTTACAACATACTGTCAGGAGCAATTTTACTCCCTAGCTTGGAAAGGCTTCCTGAACCATAGTTCTGGACTGAGGTTACCATGGAGGCTATAGTCACAGAAGTCTGTGTATACAACAAATCTGAAGAGTCTTGAAAGTCAGTTCTACAAATAGGATGGTATTCAGCATATCTATCTAATACTCAATGGTCATCTGTCTTTGGCCCAAACTCCCTATGGGCTCAGTTAGAGGTTAGGCAGATGCTAGGCCATTGTGGGAAGGGATGGTTGGAGCACACATATTTCAAGCTACATAGGGGGCCCTGTCAATAAAGAGTTCATGTGAAATCCATCCTCAATTGCCCACCCAGCATCCAGTGAGTTAAGTGTACTTTATCGTACCTTCAAATCACAGCCTGTCTGTCCAAAGATAAGAATGCTTCTCTGCCTCTTTTGTGCTCAATTCTGCTGCATGCCTGGAAAGAACAGGTAGTAAAGTTTACAGGGTAAGTTCTGAGAAGGTTGAGGTGTGGATGAGATCAAGGGGACCTGACCTGTCCTGATAGGATATCAGATTTAACTATTATGGAGGGAATCTTTGCTTAGTTAGACTCTTGATATTCATTTGGCTCACTGCCAAAGAGAGACCTATTTGTCCAATATATTTCCGTAATATATCTCTTGCAGCCACTTAATTGGCCATTTTCATCATGAATAACTGCAAAAAGCACCTTTAGGGGCTTACAAAGTAGGCTGAATTCCACATACTCCGTAGGTGACAGTAGTTGCCCCAGATCCTAATGATTCCTCTGTAGAGGAGTAGCTGGGTCAGCTCTGTGTTCAGAAGCTCTTGAGCGAGTCAGAGAAATAAAGTAACTTGCCCAAGGCCACCCAGGTAATACGGGAAGAGCCAGATATGACCTGGTTCTGTCTGATTTGGTATCAAGCCATGCCCTTTAAGTCCGCAGGCCTGTGAGTGCCCAGCGCATAGTTGGCCCACAAGGATTATGCCCTCTTACTCTTTAAAGGAATAGCTTCTTTAGTAGGTAGGTTATCTCTGCCTTTTTTATTTCTCACTGGTTTTTGGATATTAGTACTGCTGTGCATATGGTGGAAAAAATGAATGAAAATCTATTTCTGAAAATTTGATTCTTGGTTATGATGTGAATTTATAGGTTTTTTTCTTTTTATAGATATATCAGGAAAAAAGAAAACAAAAAATTTACACTGGAGACTCTCCTTTCTTACTACTTTCCAAATCCAGATGCTATAATTGCTCCATTTACACTTTCAAACTGTACAATTATTTCTAGAACTCTTGATGAGATCTGGGACTCAGCTATAGGAATTGGGACAGTTAAAGTGATAGTAGCTAACATTTCTTAAGCATTTATTCTTACAATTATCCAGGCATATTTATCTTTAATTTTCCAGTAAAATAGCTGATTAAGTGATAGTGCTACAATTTAAAACTTGCCCATTGAATCTAGCGCCCAGGTTCCTAATAGCTTTGCTTTACTTCCCTCCATTTAAAAATAAAGTACCTCAGACATAGCCTAAACATATTATAAATTATAGATATTCTAAGAGTATTGTACTTGACATTAGGCAACCCATGAAACTGTGCTGAATTTTAGTTTGAAATGGTGATTTTCCTGTGATATCACTTATATTATCTCTTACAGTCTCTATCAGCTTAAATGTCATATTTTCACTGTCTGGGGCATAGGTAGCACGTGGTACTTTATTCCAACTTCTTTATTCACGAGCTTTGTGACTTGTGCCAATTACCTAACCTCTGTGCCTTGGTTTTCTGTTGGTAAAATGTGTATAATAACAGTACCTTCATCTTAGTGTTGTTATAAGAATTAAATGAGTTAATTCATGCAAAGCTGTCCCTGATCCATAATAAATGTTGAGTAAATGTTAGGCATTACTCTTGCTATAATTATTATTATAAACTATTTACATTATTATTATTATTACAGACTATTTTCATATATATTTTCCTGCTAGATTTTCCCAGCACTGCTGAGGGTGTACACAGAGCAATTGGTGTTAAAGCCATGTTATATTAGAAAAGATCAAGAATCAGAGAGGCAAGGGACTTGCCTAAGGTCACAAGTGGCAGAGGAGAACAGGAACTGTTTAACTCCAGTTTATGTATATATGAGAGATAATCAAGTCTGTTGGTCATCAGAAGAAACAACTCTAGATTTAACAAATACACTAGAAAATAAATTAAGTTGGCAGATAGTTTAGCGAGTGCTTCTTCACCATGTAAGAGTTTCACTGCAGTGTTCTATTAAAACACAAATGCCTCGAAATACTTAGCAAGATCCAACTTATAAGAAAAATATTTCCCTGTAGGACATATCTATACTAATCTTCCCGACCTAAGGAAGCACAGGAATACATTAACCATTTCATAAGCAGTCACAGGGTGAGGGTAGCCTGGGCCCAGAGTCGGGAGTCCTTGGGCAGCCAGCTGCTCTTCATACCAGAGGCTACAACACTCATTTGGTTACAGAGATATGTTGTTTTAGACTTTGTAAAGTGCTTTCAGGTTGTGAAATTCAACTGAAGGAAGGGTTTTGACTTGACCATCTCTTCAGTACCTATTTCTAAAAGACCGTAATTCTCCAAAGAGTTTTATAAGATAATAGATGTAGAAATGTAGAACGTGCTAAATTTGGCAAACAGTATGTCAAGAAAAAAAAACGCATGTCAAGTCTAGGACGTTCTTTGCTGGGCAGTTTATTGTCTTGTTTCTAGCCTGGCTAATTATAGATTTTCTAAATACTGTGTGGAATCACATGCTATGTGCTTATAGGTAAGTAATGTGTACATTGAGCAAAAACAGTGAATTGTCAGACTAGGGCAAGGAATGTGTGGGGAAGGCACCTCAGGGCTTCTTGAGAGGCAATTGTTAAAGAGTCTGCATCTGTCACAGACACCTGGGCAGTAGGCATGTGGGACTTGCCCCCTCATCTAGGTTTTAGAGGACTGGTTCTCACAGGAAAGCAGGTAGCAACTTTACCA